GGAAGTTCAGGCTGAGTGTCCTGGGTGGAGGGGAGGATCGTGATTTTGGGGAGATATATAACTGTAAAGCAGAGGACTAGAGAGGGAAGAGAGAAGAGAATGGAAGAACGAGATGGGTAAGAACTTGAGAGGAACAAGCTGAGATGGGGAAGAACTAGATTGAAGAGCTGAAAGAGAGGACTAGAGGAACGAGATGGAAGATGAGGAAGAGCCAGATGAGGAAGAACAAGATGAGGAAGAGCAAAATGAGAGAGAAGGAGACAGGAGAGGAGCTGATAGGGGAAAGAACTAGATAGATGAGAGCCTAGAAGGGACTGAACTAGATGAAGGAATTAAGATAGAACATAGAGGGGACAGTAGATAAATATAGAGAGAAATCAGGCAAGAAAGGAGCTAGACATGAGAACAGAACTGAAGCTGTGTATAGAGGATGTTATGCCAGAGGAATTAAAGCGAATGGATCAAAGAACTCTGAGTGCGTAGACTGATTTACCGACCCTAAAGATTCTCTGCTGGTTGATAGAGCCTTCTGCGGACCCTGGGAGGGGACTATCGAGGGGCTGGACCCCCCTAGTCCTCGTTATTCACCTTTAAATGGGGTTTCAAGTGAGAATCCTAGACAACTACTGGGAGGGGACTTAGGCTTTAAGCAACTGTTAATTTTGTGTTAACATTCTTGCTTCTCTACAGGTGAAAGACATCAACCAGACTCCAGAGTAAGGGAGTTCCTCCCTCTTCCCATGTCCCTACATCATTTTCTTTCTATACTCCATCAAGGTGAGCAATCTCATTTATTCCCAAATCGCCCTACATCTAGGGCGCTTTGGCTCCAAACGTGGGCCTCCAGTTTCTGTTAGATTTCACTGCACAGAGTTTTCATGTACTCTATTTGTTTTGATTGAATTCTTTTTTGCTGATCATCAAACCTAGGGTATTGAGCATTCCATCTTTTTTGAGTTATTTTGAGACAGGGTTTCTCTGTGTAACCCTGGCAGTCCTGGCACTCACTTTGTAGAGGAGACTGGCCTCAAACTCAGAGGTCCACCTGCCTCTGCCCCCTAAGTCCTAGGATTAAAGGTGTGTGCCACCACCATCTGGCTTGTGTTCTTGATTTTTAAGAAAACCTGTACTTTCCCTCCTATGTTCCAATACCACCGGTCACCAAGTCCTGTTGTATTTACTACTGCAGGCCCTATCCCCACTATTTCTACCTACAGTGTCCTAATTTCTTACCAAAAACTTTCAACTTTGCTAACTCTAATCTTTGAGGGAGGAGCATCCCAAGTTCAAGACCAGACTGTGCAATTTAGTGAGGTATAGTGATAAACCAATCTGCCTCTATCTAAGGCTTGAAAGCCATCTTACAGTAAACAACAAACTATATTCATTTCTGTCTACGATTAAATTTGTTTCTCAAGGATTGAGCTATGCCCCACCTATAATCTTAACTACAAAAGGTTCTGTACTTGCCTGTTCCTGGAAATGGCAACCATGCCTTTGTTTCAGGAGGTTGTTAGGACCAACTTGTTTATGCTTATGTTCTGTTTCTGTAACCCCGCCTATTTGCCTGCCAAATCCCCCATTTGGAAACCCCTACTCCTGAACTATGACACCCCTTGTCTTCCCCATGTCCAATGCTGATCTCTTGACCCACTCTATTAGGGAGAAACAGCCCATGCGTACGAATGAAAAAAGCTTGCTTTAATTATTTAGCCAGGATATGGGTCGGTGGTCTTACTCCTGCATTTATGGGATTAACAAAAGCCCCATGGTAGAGCGCTTGCCTAGCATGCACGAAGTGCATGCACCACAATACCAATAAATAAAAGTACTTTTGAATCCATCCTAAGAATCCATCCTAAGAATTCTTTCCCTGTCGGAACAAGGCTGAACAACTCGAAAACGGACAGTGAGTATTTACAGTGTGAGGCTTGCTCTCCATTTTCTCATGCTAGGACTGCATATCAATGCTACCTAAATGAGGAGGCTTTGCTAGACACTAAAATACGGGTTCTATCCCTCCCCAGCATCTCAGTTTCTGCATCCAAAGGAAGGTTTGCAGACCGGGCAAGACCTCCAGCGGCCACCGGGCGGAAGACGGTTTATGAAGAAGCTAGCAGGGGGCAGACTGTGGGATAAGATAGTAAGATACGTTCCAGCAGAGACAAAATGAACTACACTCCTCTCCATCGTCCTGGAAGGAAGCAAGACTTACCTGAAGGACTTGCTCACGCCCTGTGGTCCTCCACTCCCGAACAAGAAACACGCTTCGCGCGCGCCACCTATTTCTTCCGGGTTTCCAGAAAAACTAGTTCCGGATCAGGAACTACAAAGCGCAGTCATCCTTCCTCTTGTCACACCCACAGGGCCCGAACTGAGAAAGCCGAACTGAAATCCCGCGAGGACCTTCTCGGGTTGCCAAAAGGAAGGTGGAACTTTTCTCTTTTGGAGGCGGGCTCCTCGGGGGGACCGGACCGGAAGTGACGCGAGTGGGTTCCGGTTGGCTGGAGCCCAGCGGCGGGTGTGAGAGTCGGTGCTGGGAGCCGCTTCCAGGATCCTGAGATCCGGAGAAGCCGGGGTCTGAGCGGGTAGGTAGGCGAATGCGGGGAGTCGGGGGCGCAAGCCGAGGCTCTCCACAGCTCGGCTTCTCCCGTGGCTCTCACACTTGGGCGGTGCAGATTCAGAACACGCTGTTTTCCACTTGAGGAGTGTTTCAGGTCACTGCTGACGGGCTGTGTCAGCCTGGCGGCAGCCAGGTTATATGGGACACCTCTCCACGGTTGGTTCCCGGGACACTGACCCTGACACTCCTGACCATTCCTTCCAGACTTGGAAGCCGTCCTTGGCTCCTACGGAGCACCTTCCTCCCGGGGTGTCCAGAACCTTGGTTTAAATGAAGAAGGTCTTCGCTGCTGATGACCGAGCTGATTTTCCAGGACCTTTCAATGTGGTGTCTCTCCTCTCCAACCATTAGCGCATTATTCCAAATGTATCTCCATGAAGTGCAGGCGTGAGGGTGTCCTGAGGGTACAGAGTTGCCAAAGGAAGGGGGCCTTCTTCTCATAACTCTTGCTGTGGACCTTGCCTCTTCCTGCAGCTGTCATAAAAAAAGGGAGTCCTCTGCCCTTTCCAAACCCCTAGTCCCCAACATTTGTATTTCACCGCCGCGGAAGTACAGGGCAGCAAGACAGGGTGGTCGATTTAAAAATCTTCACTATTCCAAAAGAGTGTATGGCCTCGTGTTAGGTTACTTATGACCTCCATTTGATTTTCCGTAGCCATCTTTTGCTTTGCTTCTACTCCATCAAAAAAATCTAATAATGCATAGATTGGCGCTGTGCATGTGTATTGGCAGATTTTTTTTTTTTTATCTTTCTGTTCTTCCTAGATGCTTGTTGACATTTTGTAGAGAACGGTCGTTTAGAGAACTTTCCCGGTATTTCTCTTGACATAATGAAGAATTTAATATCCCAACTGTTTTGTTTTATTTTTTTCAAGACAGGATTTCTCGGTGTAGACCAGCCTGCTTTTAACTCAGAGATCCGCCTGTCTCTGCCTCCCAAGTTCTGGGCCCGGCTATATTCCAACTGTTATTATCTATGAATTGTGTTGCCATTGGATCTGATTTTAGGGAAGAAACTTACTAGGCAGTAGTTTGTATGTGGAAAGTTATGTTTTTATTGACCTTTGGTACCCCAGAGAAATATGACCAAGTTTGTATGGGTGCAAAATGATTCTAAAGAGGTAATTTCTCCTGTTTAGCTTATTTGCCTACATTATTTTAAAACAAATACATTTTTAGGGCTATATTTCTTAGATACATTTAATAGTACAGTTATATAAACACATATCTGAACTACTCTAGCAAATGGTTTGATGCTGTTTACCAATTTAACTACAGCTAGTTTAATGTTTGTTATCACATTGTCCTTTTTTTTTTTTTTTTTTTTGGTT